AAAGCTAATTTCACGTAAACGTAGAATACGTTTATTTATTCTGAAAACGGTTAAAATATCGAACCGTCTGTTAACATATTATTCTTAATAACCTTCCAAACTAAAGAAGTGAGTCAAGGCCCATATGAAATTTAGTTCATTAATTCTTTATTAATCGTGATATTAATACGGTTGTTCATTTATTTTTGAGTTATACAGTAATAATATAGTCGTATGTTCATATTTAACGACTACTGCGAGTTCGATTTAACTTTTTGTATTAAATTTGATAAGATTTAATTTCATCACTTTCTAAACTTTTATAGTTTACCTATACATAAATACAGACCGACATGTTGTTTTAATAGCTTTAGTATATTATTAGTATTTATTTTCTCCACGTGTACGCATATTGGTTCAAATATGGCTTCTGACGTCACACTTCACTTAGATCATCACGTTAGCTTCGACTTTGATTTCTATCGACACAATAGTAATACGATTCTTATCATTACGCAGGCAGTTCAATGACTTTTGCTAGAGTAAATACATACATAATATTTAATATTATAAATGTGAAAGTCTTTCGAAAACTTGCTAGGTTCTCTCAGACAAGTGGTAATCATCTTGGAAATGATTCGCACATGAAAATATCAGAGGTGCGAGACCCGCTTCACTCGATTTAGCAAGCGCGCGTTACCACTGGGCTACAATACTTAGCAATGATTAGCTACAATGGACCATAACTGGTCGACGTAGCTAGGGCCGACCTCGGCACCACACCCAATAAAATAAATAATAATACCACTGGGCTACCACTGCCTTTTATGGCTTGATCCCCCTCGCACTGAAGGGAGGCCCGTGCCCAGCAGTGGGACGTTAAAAAGGGCTGAATACAATTTATATAAGTGCACAGTGTGTGTCTTCGATACACAAGGGACGAATCAGAGGCAGGACCAGTGGTTTTAGACAAATGAGACATTAAAACATGTATGTATGTATAAAATAAAAAAAAAATACAATGATGTTTACGCAAATTCTTAAGGCACATTTAATTTAGTATATTTTTTATATTTAGCCCGTTAACTCCTTTGTGTGTGAATTTATTTAGTAGGTATAATAACATGCAATTGTAATCTAAAAGTTACTGTAAAATAATTAAATGGTTGAAATAATTTAATTTATTAATTTATTTCTATTGTATACTGTGTTACGTTTTGTGTAACAAAAGAAAAGGTTATAGGTATAAGTAGCTTCTTCATTCTTATATTTTTATGCAAAAATTAATAAAATGCTGTATGACGACACGTTTGGCTCAGTTGGTAGTAACCCTACTTGCTGTTCCAGCGGTCGCGGGTTCGAGTCCCGCTGGGGGCATTCATTTGTGTGATGAGCACAGACGTTTGTACTCCAGTCATGGGTGTTTATATTTATAATATGTATGTATTTAAAGTTATATATGTGTAGTGTATCAACTATCTGGTATCCATAACACAAGCCTCGTAGCTTACCATGGAACTAGATGGTGCTGTGTGTTAATGTGCCATTTATTATTAAAAAAAAATTACAAAAATAACCCGACTGCGTGAAAAACGAACTTAAAAGAAGAGAACAACTTGACGAAGGAACATAGCATTAATAATGTAGGCGGAGACATATAATATACGTAATTAGACTCGTAACAAGTATAAAACGTGTATGTCTCCGACTGCATAATACTACCTCATATAATAAATAAATAAATAAAATATGTTGGGACATTAACACACATCACCATCTAGTTCCATGGTAAGCTACGTGGCTTGTGTTATGGATACCAGATAGGTGATACACTACACATTATTAAATAACTTTTAAATACTTACATATATAAATATAAACACCCATGACTGTAGTACAAACGTTTGTGCTCAACACACAAATGAATGCCCCCAGCGGGACTCGAACCCGCGATCGCTGGCGCAGCAAGGAGGGTAACTACAAACTGAGCCAAACGTGTCGTCAACATATATAATACTACTATGTTCCTCCATCAACTTGTTCACTTTTTTTTAGTACGTTTTTCATGCAGTCTCGTTTTTTTTATATTTACAGCTTACTAATTTTGGTCATATAGACATTCTTACTTTTGCTTAACAATTTGTTATCCTTGTAATTCTCTTGAAAATCTTTTTGTGATACCCCACTCGATTGATTGGGAAAAAAAAATTAAGACACTAAATGGTGCCCAAGATCATCTGTTTTGATTTTCAACCGACTTCAAAAAGGAGGAGGTTCTCAATTCGACTGTATTTTTTTTTGTTTTTTTTTATGTTTGTTACCTCAGAACTTCGTGATTTATTAACCGATTTGGACAATTTTTGTTTTGTTTGAAAAGGTATACTTCCAGATTGGTCCCATTTAAATTTCAAAAAAAAATACCACCCCTAAGGGTGGAAAAATAGCTAATAATGAATTTAACCTACTTCTAATTGTCATATTGACTTGAAACTTTGCAAGTGTTTCTATTTCCGTTGATAGTACAGTGGTTCGGTATTGTTGACCTGATCTGATGGTAAGGCCAGAAGGTGAATAGGTGGAACTCTTCAACGACTAATAGTAGATATTTTGAGTTTGGGCTTATTTTGTTTGGTTTGACAAGCCTAACACTTTAGAATTCTTACTTTGCTACTACTGTCTACACTAAAAAGGGAAAAATAAAAACTTTTTAACAAAAAAATAAAAATTGACTTCAAACAAAATCACTAAAAAGTAAAAAATAACTGATTGGTAGTTTTCATTTACTATACATACCTAATCAAATATTTTCGAAGTCGGTGTGCTTTGCTTTGTATGGGCTGGCACCGATTTCGAAAATATTTGATTAGGTATGTATAGTAAATGAAAACTACCAATCAGTTATTTTTTACTTTTTAGTGCTTTTGTTTGAAGTCGGTTTTTATTTTTTTATTAATTATATCTTTATACCCTATGACACTCGCGTTATTAAGACGATTCATACGTAATCATCAAAACCATTAAGCCGTTTAGTAATTAAGAAGGAACATATGTATGTATGTACTAGCGACTCACCCTCGCTTCGCTCGGGTTCGTCCCGTAGGTACGTTTTAATTTTTTGAGCGGAGCCCTAATTCTTTTTCTAAAATAAAAGTAGCCTGTGTTACTCTCTATAACATCAGCTATCTTCCAGTGAAAGTCCCGTCAAAATCAGTCTAGCTATTTCAGAGATTATCCGGAACAGACAGACAGACAGACTGACAGATAGACAGACAAAATTAAAAAAAATGTGTTTTTCTTATAAATACCCTACATAATTTCATATGCATTTGGTAAAACGCTGTTATTTTGACATTGCTAACAGACACTTCAATTTTATTTATCTGTATAGATAATACGGATTTATTAATCACAAAAATAAAAAAACAAATAAAAAACCGGTAGTACTATAGTGTAACTGAAGGTTGAAAATTTTTCATATTTTTAAGCAGGTTTCAGTCTGCTTGTATGTTGGTATAATGTATATGAACAGTTCAGTTGCAGAATTTATCTGTATAGATATCACAGGTGTGTTATGATTTTGTTAGCTTCATTAATTTTACCTACAAAGTGAAACCTACTCGTAAATGTAAATAATTCTACAAAGTTGATTTTTTATATAGATTTGACAAATTGAATAGCTTATTAACTAAATTTAAAGCCTCACAAATACGAATATATGTCACTTTGATGAGAACAAAATCACTTGATGCTAATGAGGTTGTAGAGATACTCGCAGTGGATGGTGGTAAAATTCGTCTGTAGTTTTTGTAATTAATTTTCTTTATTGAAACTTGTCGTTATAATGTAGGTACATGATTTTTTTTTCAATTTGGAAAAAAATTGACAACGTCAAAACAAGTGTGTAATCAAAATTTATTTTAAAATATATCCAAAAATGAAATTAAAAATTTAAGTAATAGTATAAAAATGTTTTAAAAGACAAAAAAATTGATAGTGCATATTACAAGACCTCCGCGATATCATTCAGACAAAGAGAGACCATAGCATTCCCAAGGAGGGTTGACGTCAGGCAGGCGGCCGGTCGTAAAACTTTTGCCAAATCCTATCAGCAGTACAGAAGATGTACTGCGCCGAAGAAGATGAAATTTTTTTCATAGTTTTGCATATTTCTACAGTTCAGCAGTTAAGACGTAACGATCGTACAAATGGCTGACGGAAGGACAGACACTTTCGCATTCATAGACAATTATAATAAATAGCGTAAGTCTATTATTTTTTTTTTTTACTTCTTTATATTTTTATATAATATATACAATTATTTTATGAATCCAAATTCAATTATTTTATGTAAATGCCTAAACGTGGAATCGAAAACTAGTCCAGCCTGTTATTTCACGCTCGTAAATTTTTGTTTGTTCAATTACATATGGTCCCTAGTCTATTTATTTTGTTTTACTTTAATTAAACTATAGTTCTTTCATAGATAGGTGGTAGCCCAGTGGTAACGCGCTTACCTGGGAAACCAAGTGAAGCGAATCCCAGGTCTCGCACCTTTGATGTTTTCATGTGCAAATCATTCTCAACATGATTACCACTTGTTTTACGATGAAAGAAAACAATGAAGAAACCTGCATGTATGAGATGGATCGAGATCCCGCTCCAAGACACACCTGGCTGCGAAGAGCTTGCGGCCAAATGCGCAACGGCAGCTATCATTTTTCAAGATCTCTACGTATAGTTCTGTGAAGTGGAGTATAATTCATTGTAATAACAATTGCATCGTTTTTGTTTCAAAAAGTCAAATATTGTTTAGTTAATTAAACATACTAGCGGGCACATTTGGATAGGCACCCCGGTCAAAACTTATTGTCCCTTTTATTATTGTATATAAAAAATTGATTTCGATTAAATACGCTATGAACGTAGCAATCTTGCAGCCGGATCTCGATCCATAAAGAACTTTGCTCTATCACGTACATGAAAACAAATAAATCCTAAACTATTTCTTTTTCAAATATTTAGCAAACCAACTCCCCCCGGGCACCGACCTTGGCGTAGCAGCTGCACAGCCAGCGCCGCGCCTCGAACACCACCAGCGTGACCTCCTGCTCCGCCGCCAGCGCGCGCTCGGCGCTCGCGATGCAGCCTAAGTAGTCCCGCGCCTCGCTCTTCTCCTCACAGGTCAGAAGCAATTTGTCGATCTTCTTCAGCTTCTTGTAGAACGGGAAGCACTTCTTGTGCTCCGGATCTAATTTCAGACATTCTCTGATTTCCTGGTAATTGAGAATATATAACATTTATTACTAAATATGTTGGTGATGTCAATTTACTCATGCCCCAAAAGATAGGTGCGTGCTTTTTCAACTAATTATAATCTGAATTAAATTATTATTTTTTGTACGTAAACCATCCTTGTAAAATGCCTTGTACCTCTTTACCTGCCAATTTTCCTCTACTAAAGAAAAAATTTAAAAACATTTTATGAGAGAATAGAATTTGCCCCATAAATAACTATATCATACTTTACATAAACGATATTTGCCAATTTACCAATTATTACTATGAAGGATATGAATACTATGCTTAAAGGGACAAATAAATGTCTTCAAAATGAAGAAAAAAATAATCAAATTCTAGAAACATTTCTGTACTAAGGATGGAATAAAAAATAAAAGTAAAATAACAATGTGTCGTCTCAGTGCTTATTTATCCAAACGACCAATTTACCAAAGAATTTTTTAATACAAAATTATTGATTTTTAAATATCAACTCTATTGGTATTAAATATACATACTACCTTAATAAAGTCGATTTTTTTTTTATTTATATATGTTTACAAACCATAGAAATAAAACTTAGTTTTTAAAATAGAGGAACTCTATTGTAAAGTACAACATATATAGGTCGGTTGAACAAATAAAAATTAAGCCCACCAATATTTATCACCTAATATTTAAAAAGTATCCAAATTCTGACATAATGGGAAAAGTTTATCATCAGTTTTCAATAAGACACAACACATGTAGCTATATATAGAGAAAATTAAATGTGTGTTTGTATATAATGCCAGCACTGACCTTGAGTGCGTCGCTGACGTGGCCGAGCTGGTACAGCAGCTCGGCGAGGCGGTAGTAGCCGTCCGTGGAGTCCTGCTGCAGCCGGTTCACCGACCGGATGTCCGACACCGCTGAGAACAGGTCGTTCTGCAAATTGTTACACACACGTATATCACTAGCTCTTGTCCACGGTTCTGCTCACATCACAAATCAGGGCTCGGAAACCGGATCAATTTTTAAAACAGTTTTTTTCATTAACCCCAAACCGAAAGGGTTTTCGGTTTAAGGTTTCGGTTACGTTCTTTAAGCGATTAAAACTAGGAAAATGGTTTTTGACGAATTTAGGTTACATGATCGAAATTATTAGGTAAGAATTAAGTTTTTGTGCGTTTACATTTGGCGAGTCTTTGCTAAGGGTGAATTGGTTAGTAGAAGGACACAATATGTAGGTATGTATGTAAAGTTTTCAGGTATGTAATGAAAATAATCTAAATATATTTTTTTTAACATGTTTTCAAGCTCTAGAATCTAGATCGATTTAAATGAGAATTCTTACACCGTAGGCAGTAGTAAAAAAAAAAACTTATTACAATTTTAATTGACTGAGATACAGTTCAAGCTTTCCGCTCTACATACTTCCATATAAAGTATTTCAATAAGCATAAATCGATCGACATCGATCGATCGATATATAGTTTGATAAATATAACCTCAATTCTGCAGTGCACTATTTTATTGTTTTGACGTCATTTTTTCAGAAGTGTTGCCATTTTAGGTAGTTTTAATTATGCGTTATAATTCTGCAAATAATAAGTTGACGTGCATTTTAATATTTATTTAAAAATTATCATTATTTTATTTGGTTTTAACAATTTCATAGCAAATTCAGATTTTTTTTTTTGGGTGAATAACTAGGAAAATTTTGATTTTGTGACAATCTAAAGTGATTTTCGCAAAAGCTCTGGCAACCATTTTGTGAATTTTTGTGTCACTCATAACTCATTTCACAGAATGACTAGCACATAAAATTTGCCCTATAAATTAAGTCATTCATTTTGACAATTTAGGTATGAAGTTTGTGGTTAAGTTAGGTTCGAAGTTCATATATAAAAAACAAATCATTTCCTCCACTTTTCCTTTGCGGGAGGGTGATCTACACCCTCCACCCTATCGCTCTCACCCCCAAATATATACACATGCTGCCACCCTTATTCTAAACTCCGAGTTCCGAATTTTAATTAATTTCTTAGTTTACCTGGAGGTGTTAATATAGCTTCTTATTAGTGAAAGAAATTTCAGAATCTTATCAGTAGTTGCAGAGCTTACCCACTATATACAAACACTATCTCTTTATAATATTACAAAAAATATATATTCGTAAATTCTTACATACTTTTCACATTTGTTATTTTAAGTATGTATATAATGACATTGAGAATAAGTACTTTCACACACACAATTTAACCATATCGTAATCAATTCAGAAGCATGAAATTTATTTCAAGTTTAAATAGAAATATAATTTTAATACTTTTTTATAATACGTCTGTTGATGAATTTTAAACTCATGATGTTTATCAAGAGTTTTCTAAAATCATTATAAACAGACCTAACCCACGGGAACCACATATTTTTCCAGGATAAAAAGTAGCCTATGTGTTATTCCAGACTATAAGCTGTTTCTGTGCCAAATTTCATTCGGCTCCGTTCTGGCGTGAAAGAGTAACAAACATCCATACTCACATACTTTCATATTTATAATATATAGATTTTACTAAAAACTCTTAAAAGTTATATTAATGACCAAACCGCAACCTATTTAATTTTTATTATTTATAATTATTAGTAAACTGTAAAAAATTAGCATAGTGCTTGATAATTTATTTAAAATAAAAGATAATTGAAAAGAGAATTACTGCATCATACTTTTAAAGTATACAATTGAGTCACTCAATATGTCAGAATCTTATCTGCCTTCAAACAATAACATCAAGCCACAGTTGCTGTTGATATCTAAATTATTACATCATTGTTCATTTACTTTCAATATCTACAGAGAGGCTATTATTCATTTTATGAAAGAGTGGTGAAAGATAAAAATGTATCAATTGGGTCTTTTAGTTTGTTAATAATAAATAAAGTTTTACTATGGTTGCTACAATGTATAATACACATAGCAAGAACAGAATGAAATAAATTGGTAATATTCATAGTTTTAGTACATATTTTATTTTGATAGATTTAAATACTTTTTATATTGTTTATAAAATTAATGAAATTTAAGTATATCCTCATTGATATAAGTGTAAGCACTAAACATACATTAGTTAAGGAGTTTATTTATCTATACACATAAATAAAATTAAAGTGTCTGTTTGTAATGTCAAAATAACACCTTTGTACTAAATGCCTAATTATGAAAGTACATATTATGGTACTTAATTAAGGTTCCACTCAAAAAATTAAAACATACCTAGGGACACACCTGAGCAAAGTGAGGTAAGTCACTAGTTGTGAATAAAAAAGTTTATGTTATTTTTTTCTTGTTTGGTCTTTTGCTTAATATATAGAAAATGGAAATATACTTACAACTTGTAAATAATCTTCTTTGGCCTCAGGGTACTGAGCTAGTTTGAGGTAGACATTGGCCCTGTGCATCCTTGCGGCAGTGAAGTCTGCCTTCAACTCTAGAACCTAAAAAAAACAAGTTTTTTAGGTGTATTTCTGTTTGAAGGTAATAAAGTGAATTTAGAGAAAAATAATGTATTGACTTATTATTACCAATTTTTGAAGTTTCAAAAATACAATATAAAATACTCCTTTCTAATAACTAAAGTATGCATATTAAGCTTTATTACGATTAACTGAAATATACAAGAATGTAATAAATAAAAACTACAACTTATTTGGTAAAAAAAATTGTAAAATGAATACCTTGGTAAAGTCCTGTAAAGCAAATTTTGCTTTACCCAATGCATAATATACAGTGCCTCTTTTAAAATAGGTGAGGTAGTTGTGTGGATCACCCTCTACAATACAAATAAAAAGAAATAGAATCCAATGTACCTAGTTATTATTATTATTCACAAAACCAAAATGTCACATGTTGAATCTATAATATACATAATAAACATATACTAATAGTTATTGTCATTGACAAATAGATCCAATACAGCGGGATCTTACACAAGAGAATCTAAGAAATTTTGTGGAATGACATATAAAGTCCAAGCGCGGTAGATTAACATAAGGATATCTTGCACTGTGTTGAGTACCTCCACCCTATATAAGTCCGCTGTATAAGGTCGCATGTCCTAGGGCAGCCGATCAGAATATTTAAAAAATATTTTGATAAGTTAAAAATACTTGAGTGCGTCAGTTCAAATTGTGGTGCACAAATTACATGCTGAAAAGTGTGTGTTTCAATTATCTACCAATTTTCACAAGCCGAAGAAACAAAAATCGTCCATAAAGTTTAGAGCAGTTGCAGCTACAGTGAAGCATGTATTTATTCTCCAATCCGCACTTCTCTTTTTTTCACTCTTTCTCTCACTCTGTTGCAGTATTCCCACACTACTTTTCGTCACCGTGAGGACAAAATAGAAAAAATCATAAAAAAATGTTTAACCCCTCTAATTTTAGTCACTCCAAATAAATGCCATATTATGGGTATCACAAGTAGGACTTGTCTGTATAATATATGACACGCTCAAGTATTTCAAAATAGCGTATTTTTTTTTTCATTTTCAATAAACCACCACGACGTCTTACGTCCTTGCGTCACGTCAGAATCGTCAGTCTTTTGAATGAGAGCTATTTTCGGGTTCACTTAACATTCCCTCTGAAAATCAGACGCGATCGTATAATATTTTTTCTAAGTTTTCCCTTCCATTGCCACCCTCACATTGCAAACCGGCAAATTAACATACCTCCATCATCAGAGACACGTGAAGCATTTTCATGTGACTTTTTTTTACATTTCTTTAAGGCTTCTTTGTAAGTGTTCCCCCTACCGTTAAAATGGTATGTATAATGTATATCTTATAACCTTCTTTTAATTATACCATCTATCTTCAAAATCTAATAGTAATACTCTCTAATAGGTCCCCACGACGCATGAGTAAATCCCCATTTAGCATCATGGGCTCCCCTACAATGTAGGTGGACTATGGCCTGACCCCCCTCGTATTGAAGGGAGTCCCGTGCCCAGCAGTGGGACGTTTAAAATGGGCTGAATCCAAACTATAACTTATAATACTTTCTTAAATTACATATTATATAACTTATACTTTACTTTGAAAGTTTAAACTCATTAAAATTAAAGTATTCCTATAATTATAAGATAGCACTAATCTCTCGCCCAGGATCATATTATGCGAACGGTATCATAGAATAGTCTAAAAGTGAAATTAACCAAATATCTGATTTATAATTGTTTATAAAACTGGTTTTAACGGATTTTTTGTGTTTAATTATGTTTTCCTTATTTTGCTGACATTTCAAGAACATACCTAAATATTAAAGTAATTTTTATTTCTTTTAATTTCTCACAATTAAAATTTTAAATAATAGCAACCCTAATTAGAATAATTCAGTTTTTTTAATTATAAGGTACATTGGCACCATTTCTCTATTTCTCCATCCATCGGAAACAAAAAAATCAAAATAAAACTGTAAAAATATCAATAAAAATAGTTGTATTTAAAATATCAAATATTCGATTTTTCAAAAAGAAAATATTCAACTTGCATACATATCCATTAACGTTCTGGCATAATCATGTATCCATATAATACGAGCTAAGTTGCCGAGTCCGGCCACGTGTTCCAACACGGACCGTCGGCACGTCACGCTGGTTAATGTACCAAATTATTTAAATTACACGTAGCTTACGTCTGAAATCACATGTTATTTAACGTGAGGAGACTCTAAGTTCTCACGGACAATTTACAAATTACAAGTGTGATATTATTTTACATATCACAAATTGTTTTGCAGAAATTTACCTGAAGTTATATTTTTTTTATAGTTGTGTTAACAGACGCAATCCATTCTGCCAGTGTCACGTTTTGTGAGGAAGACACGAATGAGATTGAGCGGTAATTTTGAAATTTAATGAACTTTAATGTGGAATTAAAACTATAAATGTGTAATCGGTCTACACGAGTAACCTACAACAATAGAATTTTTCGACCATTTTTCGATCTCCTTCATATGATGGTGATAATATCGTGGGGTTTATTCACGAAGAATTTTATTTTTTAAACTTTTATTTACGAAAATTTAGCCGAATTGGTCCACCCATTCTTGAGTTATGCGCCTACCAACATTCATTTTGATTTACATATATAAAAGATACAAGATACTAGTTTATAAATGAATTTTCGTATGTGTATACCTATGTATACATATATGTCTGTATGTTAGTTACTTTTTCACGCTGAAACGACTAGACAGATCTGGGTGAAATTTAGTATACAGAATACAGATGATTAAGATCTTTAATAAAGATTGACTAATGTTAAGGATTGAAAGTAAGTTGAATGACATTCTATTAATACTTGTTATAATAATAATCTATACTAATAATATAAAGAGGTAAAGTTTGTGAGTGTGTGATTTTGTAGGGGTAATCTCTGGATCTACTGAATCGATTCAGAGGAAATTTTTATCCCAGAAATCATTTCTTAAGGGGGTGAAATGGGGATGAAAGTTTGTATGGGGAATCAAGCTAGGTACGAACCAGAGCAAAACGAATATGAATCGCTAGTAAATAATAAATAAATAAGTATGTTGGGACATTAACACACAGCACCATCTAATTCCACAGCAGCTACGAGGCTTGTGTTTAGGATACTAGATAGTTGATACACTATACATTTAAATACATACATATTATAATAATATTATACACATTATAAACACCCATGGCTGGAGTACAAACATTCGTTCTCATCACACTAATGAGTGCCCCCAGCGGGACTCGAACCCGCGACCGCTGGCACAGCAAGTAGGATCACGCCTGGCCGTCGGTTATTAAAAATCCTAAAACTGTTAAGCTCTACCAAGTTTTTATTCAGATTTTCCTGTTTAATCTTGATTTGGCACTTTATAAAAAGACAGCACGTCCGTCGATTACCAATAACAAAAACAATAGTAAACTTTTTGCTATAGGTACTCTGGAAAATACCAAATAACTTAATGGCTTGGATACTTTTAAGTAAAATACTATTCATAAAATATATAATAGAATGACATCCGTAAAAAGAGTTATATATTATAACAAAATAAACAAAAAACGATTTCAAAAAACACAACAAAGTAAAGTTTTAACTGATTGGTAGTTTCCATTTACTACAGATTTAGATACCTAATCAGATATTTTCGAAGTCGGTGTGCTTTGATTTGTATAGGCTGGCCACGAGTTCTAAAATATCTGATTAGGTATCTATAGTAAATGAAAATTACCAATCAGTTTATTTTTTACTTTTAATGTTTTTTTAAGACGGTTTTTATTTTATATTTTAAAGTTTTTGTTTTTCCATTTTTAGTGTAGACATAGTAATAGCAAAGTGAGAAGAAAATATTTTAATAAAATATTCGCTTAAACCGCTTAAGTGAATGTGAAGCTAATTTTTATATAAAGACTGTCAAACTAAAAATCGCTTTTATTAGTAACACTAAAAAATCTGGCTCTAAAATCCAATTCGAACGTATTAGGCTTGTCAAATCAAACAAAATAAGCCCAAACTCAAAATAACTACTATGAGCCGTTTAAGAATTCCATCTATCCATCTTCTGGCCTTACCATCAGATCTGGTCGACGATACCAAACCACTGCACTCTCAACAGCAATACAAACACTTGTTAAGTTTCATATCAATATTACAATTAGAAATAGAAATTTAAATTTTCATTAGCTATTTTTCCAATCTTAGGGGGTGGTTTTTTTGTTTAATTTAAATTTTTAAAATTTAAATAGGACCAAACTGAGAGTATACACTTTCAAACAAAACAAAAAGTGTCCAAATCGGTTAATTAATAAATATGACAAAGTTCTGAGAAAAATATTCAAAAAATACAGCCGAATTGAGAACTTCCGTCTTTTTGAAGTCGGTTGATAAAAAAGAAATGTATTTGTACGTTTGTTCAACAGAAAATCAATTTTATAAATGGAGGATGTTAATGGGAATCCTTTTATTATCAGAATCTGATACACATTCCTACGCAGATTTTACAGAAAATTTATATTTCCATACTTCACGAACCGCATACACCTAAACAACTATAGCTAGGTGGCAGTTCGTCTTCTTGCCGACACGTTTGGCTCAGTTTGTAGTGACCCTACTTGTTGGTCGCAAGTTTGAGTCCCGCTGGAGGCATTCATTTGTCTGATGAGCACGAATGTTTGTACTCCAGTCATGGGTGTTTATATTTATAATATCTGTGTATTTAAAAGTATATGTATGTAGTGTATCAACTATTTGGTATCCATAACACAAGCCTCGTAGCTAACCATGGAACTAGACGGTGGTGTGTATTAATATCCCAACATATTTATTTATTTTATTTTAACATAAGTTTCGTGCTTTATCTTAAACAGATTATGTATTAGATACATAATATCTAAATATTCTTGAGAACATAAAACACACCCT